AAAGAATAATACAAGGAAAATATTTTATCCTTTGTTTATTATGTAAAGAAGAAACATCAAAAAGATTCTAAGATTTCACGAAAGAGCTTTTTTGTCTTCTCAGTTGTTTCAAATAATAGTCGTCATTATTCATGAAAATTAGTTGCACATGTACACATTGCATAGTTCAGCAGTTCTCAGCTTTTTGGTCTCAGGATCCTTTTTCACTTGTAAAGAAATCATCAAAGACCCCAGAGAGCTTTTGTTTATGTGGATTATATTCATTGACATTTACCATTCTAAAAATTAATATTGAAGAAAATAATATTTAAGATAACAAGTGAATTACATGTTAATATAAATAGAATTTTACACAAAGTAATTATATTTTCTAAGAATTCAGTAAGTAAAGTGACATTGTTTTTATACTTTTACAAATCTCTTTAATGTCTGTCTTAATAAAAGACAACTGGATTTTTGTGTCTTCCTTCTTCTACACTTAACCTGTTATAATGAATTTTGTTTGGTTGAAGATATGAAGAAAATCTGACCTCATAAAGATCTGTAGTTGGAAAAGGGAGGAGTATTTTAATAGTCTTTTCAAATAATTATAGCTATTATTCTTTGATACTAAACTAGAACTCGAGAAGTGGTAGTTTCCTAAAGGTTAGTTTTATTTTTTTAATTTTAATTTGTGTGTGTGTGTGTATGTGTGGCACGGAGCTTTCTCAGGTAGAGCTAAATGTTACTTTCTTTGTAGAATCTGAAACCCTATCAGTATACTTTTTGTATTAATACTTTGTCATAGTGAGATACATTGATATGCCTCACACTTTGAATTAAACCTTTATCCATACATAATTTTATAACATTATGCAATCACTGTTCATTTGGAGAATATTGGTCTTGTAAGTTATGCAGATTTTCCAAATGTTGACACATTATATGATATAAAAAATCACATCTATTAATAAAACTACTGAGCTCATCACAAAGGCTTTAAGTATTGAGAAGCTGTCAAGCTCATGATGGCTGATAGTTTTTAAAACTCTTAATTTTTATGTGAAAACTCAAATTTTGTCATTGGCAATTAATACTGTCAAACCTGTTCCTTGAAGTAGTAGTCTCACTTCATTCATTTTGGAGAAAATGTTCAGCAATTAGGGATACTTAATCACAGGTTGAGTACCCGTAATCTGGAAATCTAACTTTTTAAGCAGCAATGTCATGTTGAAAGGAAATGCTCATTGGAGCATTTCAGATTTGGATTTTTAGATTTGGAGTGCTCAACTGTTAGGTATGTATGATGCAAATATTCCAAAATCCAAAACAGTTCTAAGTCTGAAACAGCTCTGGTCCCAAGCATTTTGAATAAGGGATGCTTACCCAAATACCAAATCCAAATAACCACAGTTCGTCTGCCCATCATTTGTTTAAGTAGTAATGGTGTTTCATGAAAAAAAGTGGCTAATTCAGCATATAACTCAAACACAAGTGCTTTTTCTTCAAGCCATCCATTATACTTTGGTATGCTCTACAAGTGCTTTATACATACTTCCCATTTGTCACATAGAATGTTAAAAGACATGTGTTAAGAGTCAAAATTTAATTAAAAGTAACAGTTTTTCTGATCTAACAGGGACATTCTTAAATGAAACTGCCATTTTTACAGAGAGTACATGAAACTGGAGATTTTTAACAGTTTGGTGCTACTACCTTAATTTGTGCTGAAGTATCAGCAGATTTGCCCACCATTGCTTTTTTAAATATCAGTATAAAAACACAGTGTGGCCAGCCATGGTGGCTCACACCTGTAATCCCAGCACTTTGGGAGGCTGAGACGGGCAGATCACCTGAGGTCAGGAGTTCAAGACCAGCCTGGCCAACGTGTTAAAACCGCGTCTCTACAAAGATACAAAAATTAGCCAGGTATAGTGGCACGCACCTGTAATCCCAGCTGCTTTGGAGGCTGAAGCGGGAGAATCACTTGAACCTGGGAGGTAGAGGTTGCAGTGAGCCAAGATCGTACCACCACACTCCAGCCTGGGTGACAGAGCGAAATTCCCTCTCAAGAAAATAAATAAATAAATAAAACACAGTGAAAAAGTCTAATGCCATTTAAGTATTATTATGAAATAATTTTGACCTAATGGAACTCCTGAAAGAATCTCAAGAACCCTGTGCCTATAGTACGTACTTTGAGAATCATGTAGTTAGTATGTTCTTTTTTTTTTTTTTGAGACGGAATTTCGCTCTTGTTGCCCAGGTTGGAGTGCAGTGACCCAATCTCAGCTCACTGCAACCTCTGCCTCCTGGGTTCAAGCAATTCTCCTGCCTCAGCCTCC